TTGCTCGGTATGAGAGAAGGAATAAAAAAAAAGGAACTACAAGTTCTGAAGTTAAGCAGGCGTTGTCATCTAACCTACTGGCTCGGAACTTTTTGGTCTAGTTATGAACGGGTTATCGCCGATAACGCGTGATACGTCTCGTTSAATATAACGACTGACGTGAAAGACCGACAGTTTGCCAAAGTGCATCCAAAATTGTGGCTTGTTAGTGTGGACAGGAGATACCCACTGTAATGTAACACAAAGCCTCTGTTTGCTGTTACGTGATTGGATAGAGAGAATAACAACTTAGTCTGTTATTGGCTGTCCAAGTTGTCAATAACTAAAGGGGCTGGCTAAACCGACACCAATTGCCATATTCAGCCATTTTGGCTCCAGGTCCCATTGGTCCGGATACAAGTAGGAGCCGTAATGGACTTCGTTTCTCGTCATTTTCAGTGTTCTGTGATTGGCTATTTTCTGATAAACACGCTAGTTATTGGCTCACAAGCGCACGAGCTAATGCAACGTCGATGTCCCTTTAACATGAACCACACCCCTCTGCCATGCTGTTTCGCGGTGGACGACAATGGTTGGCTCCCCCGGTGGTGTTTGCCTTATTTTGTCTTCCACAATTGGTTTGATTCGTCCTCCTACACGTTATAAATGGTCCTATCACAAAATACCATGCAAAATACATATTCGCGCACGCTCACTATCCGGCTTCGTGCTTTTTTTTTTTAAATCTCTGTTGCAAACAATATTATCTTACAAATATGTTTAACAGCACTACTAGTTCATAAAAGTAAATCCGTTCTGTTAACRTAGCAGTCAGGGTTCGCCTCATTTTGATACACTTGTTTCACTTGGAATCTAGTCTTAAATTAATCAATATGACGATTAGTTATCAACCGCGCGGCAATAACAGCACAAATAATCTCTTGTTTATGCATTGATATACTGTCAAATATTACTGACACCAAATTTCATTCCGATTCCCCGAGAATACACTTCTTTTGGCTGAGCGATGAGTAAACACCGCCTTCACCGGATCATGCGCCGGTAAATAAAAAGGAGCGTACWCCACATCCACAATAGTACACAATGTTCAAATGCTAAATTTCAAGAGTTTTTAAATCGTCGTATGTAACATTATTTATTTATTATTATATGTTTATTATTATAT